AAAATCAAGGAATCCATTCTTAATTGAACAAAACAACCCTACTTTAAACCAACACGTTGGGGTGCCAAGATACATCTTCTAAGTCTTGCAACAGTATCCAGTCATGTGACCTCTTTGTTCTATACTGTGTGTGTGTGTATATATATATATCTGTGTCAGTGTAAATTACTTGTACCTGATGATGACAAAACGTTGTACATTTGTTATGTTAAACTTATATTAAAGTTTTTTTTATTACCCATTCAAGCCGTCTCCAACCATTATCAACCTAACAATGTTTACAATTTTGTAACAGCAGTGACATTCATAATAAATTGCTGAAGAAAATAACTGTAAACATTCATGTTACTTTCTATGCAAACCACATTAGACAATAACTTTCTTGTGTCTCTCTCAAGCTTCAGTTCATATGAAACTCACAAAGTTTGCTTTGTTGCTCTGATATAATTTTGTTGATCAAAAATATATTTGGTATTTGCTAAGGAGATCAATTTGTAATTTAACAATTAATTGCTTACTTTTGCAAGTTTTATCTTTATCTTCAACATATAAAACATTTTCTGGAAAATTATCAGTCAGTGGTATTTCTGGATATATACCTGATAAAAATTAAGGGATTCTGGTTGAATCATCAAATCTAGAAAATGTAAACAGTTGAGACATCATAAGACTCTGCCAGATAACAATAATAAAACTATACAAACATGTGGCTTCTTGTGTCTGATTGTCCCTCTGTGTTTATGTCTCAAGTTTTTGGCTTCAAACATTGTCATTATAAATGTCTCATTGCAGCATCACCTTGATCACAGTTGAGTTTACTTAGGATTTCAAATACATCTTAGTGACTATAAATATATATAGTCTTTGTAATTTTGTAACTAGACATAAATACTTGGTGTATGTGTTTGTGACAATTTGATACATGTATTAATATTTCATATGGTTAATTGCTAAATGAAGTGTTTTTAAGTTGGTTTCTCTTGTTCTATTATATGCTTTTAGTTGTATTATTGATTTTTGAAAGTGGTTTTTATTTTATTTTGTCTGAATTATTTTTGAAATTATTTTCCTTTCGGTTATTTTTAATTTGGTTTTTGTTATATTGATTTGTTTGAGTTGGTTTTTGTTCTTCTCCTTGTTTTCATTTCTTTCTTCCAAAACCTTTTACCATAATTTCTTCTCTCCTAATTTATTCAGCATATGAGCATGTGCTCCCAATCTCTGCTTTACTTGTTGCTTTCCAGAAAAGTCTGAACTCCCGACAAGATGGTAGAAGTTCTCCGGTATCTGTGGCTGCCAATGTCTGATAGTTGGATTATCAAACAGAACAAATTACACATCTCTAGCATTATTCATTAAGCACACCATACTGTCAGCAAGATCCTTTCTCTATATAGACCCTTTCCTCTTCCTTCACAGAATGACCTGAACAAAACTGTTCGCAGCAATTACCGCAGCTCCATGATGTCTCCCAATAGTACCAAGAAGAAGGTCATTGGCAGCAAAATCTCTCCGAAATGGAAAAATGCCAACAAAAATAAAATGATGAATTCACCTTCTAGAACAAGGAATCAACAGAAACTGACACCAGCAAGAGGCAGATTAGGTTTACCATTTCTTATCTGAAAAGGGCAGGGTGGTGCGTGAAGAAAAGTTTGTAACTTTTTATTTTTTTACTAATGAAGGAAATCGGGTCTTATTATTTTTAACACTACAGTCACTGTTTATACTTTTTTTCTATAAAAACCTGTATAACTTTCACTTGTTTTCAAAATTTTTATTGTTAAGTTTGGAAATGTATTAGAGTATTGGCAAAAAAAATGTCATGGTTTTGGGAGAAGAAGAAAAAACTATTAAATGCGTGAACAATGTTTATATAAAAACAGCTTCTCAGATTCAGTTTACATGATCATTTTTTGTATTCTTCTAATATCAAACATGAAATGTAATGTTTTATCTCTGTAACACATTTGTGATCTTGGTACTGGTAGTCTGTTGTGCATAAAACCATGACACTTTAATGTAATTTGTTTTCTGCTGCAGCTAATCAGTGTACATCTTAAGTTTTTTCTCTTGAAAAAGTTAATCTTTGGACAGATTCTGCATGGTTGTGTTTAATTCTGAAGTGAACTCCTACCGTTAAAAGGTTATTTTGCTCTGACAGTGTTGTAGCATCCTTCATGTACTTGGAAATGTGCCTTCTATAATTGTATACTAACAAAAACAAGGAACCTTACATCCATTATTACCTGTGATTTCATAATAGTTTGGTCTTTGCTTCATTTTGTACATAAATTAAGATATGAATTATCTTTTTAGTGTTAGTCATTCCATTTTGAAACGTAATTGTTAATATTTGTATTTTAATTAAAATAAAAATTTCTTCTATGTATTTGAAATTTAATCAAATTAAATGAGTTAGGTCACTATTGTTGTGTCAGTTTTTATTTTAATAATGCTGTGTTCAAATATTAAAAGTGCTTGAAACAGTCCATAAACAACATGTAAATCCAATACCTAAAGTGGAGATTGGAGAAACATTTAAAGTTGAAAATATTGTGTAGAATATTAGAATGAATTATTTCTCCTATATCAGTAACACCTACAGATTACGCTGCAACTTCAGCTACTTATAAAAATAATCAGATTGCTTTATTAATGTGATTAACTGTAAAGGAAACAAGAAAATATTGTTTGCACTACATACTTGATTTTTTATTTAAATGCTATATTCAATGGATTTATCAGGATGTCAAAGACTTTGTAACTGCAACTTTCAGGTTAAACAAATGTAATGATACATGAAGGGTTTTTCCCATATGGAAGAGAAGGTTGCTATGAAAATGGGTTCTGTTAGTATTCTTTTTCTTATTGTTTACAAATATGGACCTATGGATATTTCTTTAAGGTGCAAAAATAACCATGAAAACCTAGTTAGCAATTTAAATAATTATTTAAACTAATGAAATTTATTTCTTTTATGGAGGTATTTACTTTTAAGGGCATATGATAGTGAAATTTATCACCTGGTAAAGCATAAACCATTTAAGAAAAGAAAAATTGCTGTATATATTTGAAGATAATTCTACCAAATATCCAGTACTTGTTGGTTAAGGAAGCAGGTTGGTTTGTGACATTTTTGAAGCTGAGTACTATATTTCTTGTTTTCCATGTGTATTATTTATTCTTATAAAAGTAACTAAAATGTAAAAATTATTAGGTTAGATAATGAAAAATAATAATTCTTCACGAGATGTATTTCATGATCAGCTCGGATGTTGTGTAATTCAATCTGGTAACATGAGCTGTACCTTCACAGAGTGACTTACAACTTATGTGGCAGGATTATTAAGTAGACAAAATTCAAAGAGCAATAAAATTAAGTATAAACACGTGTATAATATTAAGTTATAGTATGGAAATTGATGGTTATGAACTTGGTCACACCAATTGAATGAAAGAGTGGCTATAATGAGTGATGGGAGGTATTAAAAATAAGCTTTTGTTTCATTTTGGTCTTAGTTTTGATTAGTTTAGTGGCTGGTAATGGATATTCAAGAAATTTTTTTTAACAAGTCATTACAGGTAAAGAAGTATTCACAGCTAACAGACTAAATACACAATCTATACCTATTAAAGTAAAAAGATAAATTTTTCTGTTAATCTGTGAACTACTCCATGGTGTTTGGATCAGTCTGAACCAAACTTGTATTGGACCAAGGGGCATGTCATAAGGAGTCTATTAGCTGGCTCTACCCCACAGTAAAAATGTTTGTTTAGCTAATGACCCTACAGTCTTAGACCAATTTTTATTCCTACATTTTTTTTAGTTTTTCATTAACAATTTTAGACATTCGTTTTTGGACAAGAAAAATGGTAACCAAAGCACGAGGTCAGACCTTTAAAGTGGCAAGGCTACATCTGAAAACCCCTGCTTTTCATATGGTCAATTTTATGTTGAGTGTTCAAGAGTGGGATCACCAAGAAATCTATTTTGGCCCAGGAAAAAAGAAGAATGTCTAAATTGTGGTAGAAGCACTTGGAGTATCAACAAACACAGACTGTTGGAAAATAATAAAGTAAAATAATTGTAGCACCATTTCTGTAATGTTGAATTAAATAGGTGTGAAATAAAGTAGTTGTAAAGTAAATTATGCACATAAATAAAAATTCTTGATTTAATTTATTTCAAGCCATACATTTAATTGGTATGCCCCTGGATGTAGGATGGGTGCTTCAGCTTTTAAATACAATAATAATAAATAAGTAAATAAAAATACACATATAAAACCTTGAGTCAGTAACTAAGCTAAAAGATTCACCTATAAAACTTTTATTCAAAAGATGTTAACAAATATCTTGCACTGTACAGAATAATGGTGTGACATACTTCTAGATCCTTCTTAGTTGTCTCTTAATAACCTAGACCCATTCCTGCATCCTTGTACTGCTCAGAGATAGAACTACCATCAGCATTCACAAAAGGAAACAGTCCTTCAGATGAATAGCCAGCTTCTATTTATTAAAATGACCTTGTATTTGTTCAGTTAAGGAAGACCACAAGGACAATTTTAGGAAATCACTTGCTTCTAGTACACTGGAGACTGAAAAAAATAACATATTTAATTTTAAAATGACTGTTGCTGAAACAGAAGGTACTAGGAACTAACAATTTTTAAAAATGCAGTTTAAGTTCAACGTGTTACACAATAAGATTCTTTACCTTGTTAAACCAAATTACATTATCAGATATACTTTTAAAACACAGCTTATAATGAATCATCCATAACTACACAATTTTTTTAAATTCAAAACCAATTAAAAGCATAAATTAGAAAAATACATTTAGACAGGTTAAAATTTGAATATATGATAATTAGACCCAGATTTACCACACACTAAGATTTAACATATTTTAGACACATAGCATCATCTTGTTTTATATCTGTCAGAATTCAGCTTATTTTTAGTTGTATACACAACACGGTCTGTCCAGTTTTATTCATTACATATTTATCTTTTCATGGAATAACTTTAGTTACCATTAGAAGTGATATTTCATCTGATAGCTACACTTCTTTGCCATCCTCATCTCATCTCTGACTTAGACCACTTAAAAAGACATAATCTTGAATGGAGTGTGAACATGGCTAGGAGAGGCTTGTTCACAAATGAAATACAGTAACAAAATAGAAAGTATTTTATACACCCAAAAATGTTAACATTTGAAAAGATATCTTTAATGACCATTAAAGAGGTGATACTCTAGAGCTAGTTTTGTGAAGTTTGTATGGTTCAACGTTAAACATACATGCATACAAGTATTGGTTTGACTTGATTTTTATAAAAGTATACTAAATAGGTACAGAATAGTATGTGTAGAAAGTAAATGCAATAATATTTCATACTTTCCAACATTTGTAATAATCCAAAGTATTTGCGTGGACAGCTTAGGCCATTATTTCACAACCTTTTTTTTTTTGCCGCAGCATCCCCTAATAATAAATTTTTAATACAAATACCAAAAGAGATAGGCTCAACGAATGGATGAGAAGTATTGGAATGCATATTGCTTGGCATAAACACACCCACACAATGATTTTGTGGTCAAATGTGTTGAAAGAAAGAAAAAAACTATTTCTTATGGTTTAATTTTAACACATATAACTTTGAAACCCTCAAAACTTTTCTGTCTGCCCCATTAGGGGGCAGTACCACCCAGATTGGGAAACTCTGGCTTAGGTTATTCCAAATGGCTTTAGTAATGTTTTGAGTACTTTTTTTTTTTTCCTGTTTAGCTGCTTAATGTTTTTACTTCACCAGTTTTCTTTGATTTAGAAATTTCGTTTGGTCAGTGATGTAAAGGCTTTTTTTTTTCTGCTTGACTGGCCAATTCTGTTGGATCCTCATATTTTCTTTATGGTGGTTACAAGTTTAGCTTCTTTCTGCTCTGTCTGAACTATCTTCTTTTATTGTCAAAATATTCATTGTATTCCATCCTTGCCAAGCTGCAGTGTTTTAAAAGTTCTGCAGTGATAAGGTACTCTGCACTTCATTACAGACCTTTTTTCAATGCTCCAAGAATATGGTTTTTGAAGTTTGGAAGAGTTTACTGAAAGTCTCCTCTATATCTGACTAACCCTGAGAAAGTGTCAGAACTAAAATGATTATCTTTTTTATTTCGTCTTTGATATTTCAGCAAAAACCAGTCTAGCCCAGTGTTTTAGTTATGCTTTTCTTAAAATTATAGTTCAGGATTTGTACCTTTAGTTTTTAATTTGATTTTAGTAACAGTTAACTACGTACCATTTTAGTTATTATTATAGTTAAGGTAAAATAACTGAACTCTACATTAGTTAACCCCTTCACCAAAATTGAATGATCAGAAGACTTCAGTAAACATACTTTGGGTTTAGCTATGTGACTATTTTCTGCATTTCAGATGCATTCTATTCACATACACAGGGATTTCAGTCAGACTGCTTGTCTTCCAGTGCATGTGGATGTATGTCAGATCACTAAATAATTTTCTTTACTTTTTTTCCTCTTACTATTACATTATCATTTTACATGTTTTTTATAGTTACATGTTTTATTAATTCTTGCAACTTATTTTCGTTATAATTAATTGAAGAAAAAAAAGAACACTGCTTTTAACCTTGAACACTGACTGACATTACATGGACTGTTTGTACTGAAGAGTAATAATGTTGCCCTGTGTATAGATCTTTAAATTATATTCTGAAATACCAGAAGTTTTTTAAATGCTTGGATGTTTTTATCTATTTTTTCCATCATATACATTGTCATGGGATAACAAAGTAGGCATTTCTCAAGCAATTTTTTTTAGTTAAGGAATTTATGACAATTCAAGTGTCTCTTGTTTTTTTCCTTCTTAGAATGGACCCAATTTGGCAGTTTTTATTAGTGTTACATTTCCTCCATTCTTCAGAATTGATAAATCTTGACAAATGATTAAACAATAGGAACTTAATTTCTCTAGCAGTGAAAGGTACCACACATCCATATTACAGAAACTTGTCAGATTGTGCAACAAAAATATAAAACCTCAATGTATAGACCAGTAATTTGTCAAAGCAAACTCTCACTTTATCAAATCTGGCTGTATATAGCTGAATGGTTTCTTGAGGACTCCATTGATATATTGTAATATGTGACAGTAACTCTAAAGTCCCTTCTCCCATCGTGTGGTGTAAAACCTGGAAGGAAATATGGAATATCCAGTTACAGTCCGTGTAATCTGTTCTCCATGCTGGGGAATCATGAAAATTTGTGTATTCCTACAAAAAAAGGCTACAATATTCCATTTGTTGTGAGGAGAGGAAATCCACTATGTACTTTAAATAATTATCTATAGGTACACCTTTTGTGTGGATTATTTATTTTTGTTTAAATGTATTACAATGTTTCAACCACTCATGTGGCCAATATCAGGTAATTGTCATCTGTTGTACAAAATATTCCATACAATAAATGACAGTTACCTGATGATGGCCACACAAATGGTCAAAACATTGTAATAAAGTTAGATAAAAAATAAATAATCCACTCAAAGCTTCTTAGGTATTGAAGAATTTATAGTAATGCACAGTTATTAATATCTAATATTAAGATATTAGTACATAAATTGATTTTTAGTAGATCAAGGAGAAAATTTTAATTAAATATTTTAAATTATTTTATAATAAATATAGAAAATATTTATACAAATTTGAAAATAGTGATTTAAACAAATTTATATGTACAATAAAAATAATTTATAATATTTATTGTTGGGGAAATAATTGGAAGTACTTATTAGACATTTCATATCTTGTATAGGTAGATTAATGTAGTAGTTATATCACCTTCCCTGTATAAGACCTGTTACTGTGTGGATCTCTTTAGAACCACTGATGATCCACATAGTAAGATGGAAGCTATACTCTTAAAATTGGTTGGGATTAGTATAGTAATACCTTAACATCTTTGTATTTGTGTCCAAACATCAAAATGGGAGCTGGAATGCTAATAACTTCAAGAACAGTTTTGCTTTCTTCCCCATCGATGTATTGCATTCTATTTTTTATTGTGAGCAACCACCTTTTCATGTTTGGCTGCAGAAAGGTTTGGGTATGCTGCATAAGATTTGCACTATCCTTCCTATATATTGGTTGTTATTAAACACAGCTACCCTATGGGCATCTTGTGCTGTGCCCACCATGAGTATCGGATCACAGTTTTTAGTGTTATAAGCAGTCAGACTTACTGCTGGGCCACTGTAAACCTTTGAAATAAAAATACATTAATAACAGTTTATGGCAAATATAAATTTAGATTTTTTTTTACTTGTATATAAACTTGAGCAACACGCGAATGAAAGTAAAAAAGAATGTATAACAATATGTCAGCCACACTACACAAGCTATATCCAGTGCTTATGATGCCTTTTACTTAATATCAAGTTAGCTGGTATGGCATTTATATTTACCAAACTTCATGAACAACAACTAATGTGGTCTGAACTAAATTAAGTTCACAGAGTGTAATTTGACAAGTAACTTACAAATCAAAATTAGGGTAAGGATTAATTACACAGTATTATCTATTTTAACACTAATTATTTTTTATTTACTTATAACAATAGGAAAGGTATTCCTCATAAATTCAAATATATTTGGTTACCATATTCTAAATTTATATCAAAAGAGAAACAGAAAGATTGTAAATGAAAACAGACTGACCATAACTATATTAAGCTTTTCATGATTGATGTTTATACATTTATAATTTTCATACACTTGTTGTTCTTTTGCTGGAGATCAATTAAACAGGTATAAATAGATTTAAATGAATTGATGTGCTTTTAAGTTACAAAAAAAGACAAAAATTCAAAATTTTATGAACTTGTTAAAAAATGAAGAAAACTGAAATTTTTTTAATCACCAAGTATTGCCAAAAGTCATGAGAATCATGTTACAAAAATAAAATAAAACGAGTATTTCAGAAATTATGCACAAAGCTACAAAAGGGGATATCCCTAATTTTAGACTTGATAAACTACAGGGAAGACAACTAGTCAACAACACCCACCACCAATTCATAGGCTATAAATCAATTCGGAGAGCTTTGATGGCACCCAATTCAAGTTGGTCATAGCTCCAATTACTATGCAACCTACTACTTCATTTTTATACATCATGCCTCTTGTTTTATTTTTTGGATCTTTTGAAACTGCATAGTCATGGTTGAGTATCAACCATCAATAAATATTATGAACTTTTTTTTCAAATGAAAAAATAACAAGACTCATGTTTAGTTTTTTCATGTACTAATTATAATCACAAGTATTATAATAAATGACCTGTTACCCAACTGCTTTGTTTTAACTAGTTTAATTCGTATTATAATGCATGCTATCCCTAACTAATCTACTGGAGTGTTTAAAATGTCTTGTCAATATTTACAAAACCTACAAATGCTTCACACTTACAGACGTCACTGTAATATAATATGTGTACTAAGGATGGTCTAAGAATTAGCTACATATATAAAACAGAGTTGTCCATCTTTATGATGTTGCAAGTTGTTTTGAGGAACTGGGTAAAAGCAATTTCAATTAAGTTCGGTAGAGGAATTTTGTTGGATCATTATAGATCATGTTTAAGTGGATAAACAGCTTATTGTTAACAACAATTTTAAATTTTCAGTTTTGATGCTGCAAAGTAGGACTCAACTAAGGGAGAAGATGAGTAGCAAAAAACATTAAGAAGTGGTGTTTAATGCTACGTGTTGCACAGGTACCTTTGCATCAGACGAACAGATTGTGTACTATGGTTGAAAATGGTGGAGGGAAGCAGCCCACAACCTCATTTATGGCACTACTTTTTAAGCCCCAGGCATTCCTAATTATACAATAATTAACAATTAAAATCTTCACTATGTTAAAATATTTTCATGAAATTTAATTGATAGTAAGGAATTTGAAAAATTGGTGGAACAAAAAAATCACTCAGTTTTTTTTTTATCTCTACATGGCAAGAAAGATGATGCTTGGAAATAGTGGACACATTCCACTCATTTGGGATTACAATCTGGTTACACTAATTGAATAACATGGGATTTAAAATTTTTATTATATCTCCATAAACAAATTCCAAGTTTGACCTCAAAAGATAAAATTAAAGAGGTTTCAAGTAAGTTTGTTTCATTGTTAAGAAAATGAAATATTATTTCTAAACAGGAAAACCAAAACCTTAGAAAAAATATTTTTTAGAGTATCAGTTTTTACATACAACATCATAAAGATGCCAAAGGTAAAACTGATTATGTGATTTTTCACTAGTTTCATAGAAATCAATGAATCACATGTAACAAATCTTTTTGAGCATTCAAGGATATCATGTACCAATGTATATTGTACGAATACTTAACGCAACCTCTTTCAAGACATAAATCTTATGCAGTACGTAATGTATTGCATTCCTGTATTCTATATGGTTTCACAACATCAAAAGGTTGTGTTTAACCTCTGGTTATTCAGTTAGTTTTAAACAATGTTGATAACTATTTTATGAATCATAAGGAAGGCCATATAACCATACAAAAAATTATGGTAAATTTGGCCATTTAGAAGGTATTGTTTATTATGAAGCATGACAGCTATCATTTTTAAAAAGCCCAAAATGGTAAGGCCAAAAAAAGTTTGTTTGTTTTTTGTTTTTGAATTTCGCACAAAGCTACACGAGGGCTACCTGCGCTAGCCGTCCCTAATTTAGCAGTGTAAGACTAGAGGGAAGGCAGCTAGTCATCACCACCCACCGCCAACTCTTGGGCTACTCTTTTACCAATGAATAGTGGGATTGACCGTCACATTATAATGCCCCCATGGCGGAAAGGGTGAGCATGTTTGGTGTGACAGGGATTCGAACCCACAACCCTCAGATTGTGAGTCGAGTGCCTTAACCGCCGGGACCCAAAAAAAAAAAAA